CAAAGAATATTGGACACAATTATATAAAAAAAAATAACGGTTAATATTTATTTATTCAAATAAAGGAAAATTTTAAAAAGTTAACTTAAAAAAAAATTAAAATACTTTTTTAAAAAATAAATATTAAAACAGAGTATTTACAATAACATAATTGAAGAATAGTGAAAACAATTATATGAAAAAAAAGATTACCTTTTCTTCTCCCCCCAGCTTTGGTTAAATAGCAGGACAGACCGGGTTCTATATCCTTAGATGGCAACTGGTCTACCGCAGAAAGTAATGGCAACCTACTGCGGGAAAAATCTGCCTCGTCAGTCATATATCGAAAGATACATGATCACCTAAACGTGTATCACGCAAGAAACATAACTAACTTATTCATTTATTCAAATACTAACACTGTACCATTACTATTTCAACACACACTTGTCCTGAACAGCCACTTGTCTACAACCATCAGGGATCCATCCTTGGTCCTATGCTGCTTTTAATCTTCATTAATGACCTTCCCGATGACATCAGCTCTCAACTTGGTATCTACACTGACGACACTACCATCTACTCCTGCCTCAATAATAAGGCTGATCAGTCCAACGAGGTCAAAATAGCACCTGATATACAAAACGACTTCAAGACCGCCGTTAACTAGGGAAAAAATGGTTTGTCAATTTTAACGCCTCCATAATTAAACTGCTCTCCATTAATCATCTTAGAGATACCGAAATTGTATGAACTTAAGCGCAATACTAGACTGGTAATGAGGTCTAATCAATTTAGAGTTGAGTTGGTTAGATGTAACCATAAGTTCTTTGCTAACAATTTCTTATCCTGTACTTCTCGATTATGAAACCCCCTGCTGTCTTCATACTTTCCAACCAACTTTAATCTACAAATATAAACGCAATGCCAATCGCTATCTACTGTCCTCCTCGATTGCTCTTTATGCTTTCTACTCATTACTAATGCATCTGGTTCTAATTCTTCCACGCCCTGTAACCCCTTACATGTTAGTGGATGTAATGCCTTGCTTGAGGTGATACTAATTATATATATATATAGTCATCCAAAGACAGACTGTTTCACTGTATCACATATTATCCAAGATTGCCTCAAGCTAGGATCGAAACCCGACTGATTTGGCATCAGTCAGAGTTCTTACTTCTGAGCTATCAGTGCATGGTAGAGGGGAAGGCAAATTTTTGTGTATTTATTCTTTGAATAAACACTCCAGTGACCAATATATATATATATATATATATATATATATATATATATAAATGAACATAGAAGTCAACACTTATATGACAATCTGTTTCATGACGATATGCAATCGTCAAACAGCCTGTCGATTGCATATAACTATGTTCACTTTTATATTTACACACGCTCTATCTCTGATATTGAGCACTTTATCCTATAAATATAGCACACCTTAAAACTATATTTATATATATATATATATATATATATATATATATATATATATATATATATATGCATGCCAGCAGTTGAGAATCATGGGATTTGATTAACATATTTGCGACTGAAATAAAAAGTTCCCAAAATGTGTATCATGCCTTAAATCAATCATACAAAAAACTGCCAACACCATCCAGCTTTCTGTCCAGAAAATAACGTTTTCATTTTGTTTCGCTCCCATGTTTTCTTATGCATAACATTTTATCATTTTAAACGTTCTTTTTAGTGGATGCTCATATTTGAGTAGATTTTGCTTAAAGGCACTATTCATGCTTGCTTGATTGGCAAAGGTTCTTCGTGACCGAGTTTGTTAAAACCCAGGGAGACATGTATATGTTTCCTTAATAAGATTTATTCAATATTCCTATATCATGGGGTCCACTAGTCAGAAAAGGTTGCCTATGACTTTCTTGCAAATTTCTTGCATTTCTTGACAGTTTTCATTAAGAAAGTCATGTCAGATAAACTCAGTATGAATGAACATGATCAAATATTGTCCAACCACTTACCAATAATTTGAAAAGCTTAAAAAATAATAATTTCATTCAGACTCTACACGAGACCAAACTCCTTCCCTTTGGTGAACGAGACATTAAAAAATCAGGAACATGTTGCCAGTCAAAACACAGTTTCTCCCATATTGAGCAATGACTTTTTCTTTCTCGTTTTTTAGGAGCAGCTACAGAAGGATGATGAGAATGTCATGGACTGAACATCTGAGCAATAACAAACTTTTCAGAAAATCAAAAAGGGAGAAAGTTGAAATTTCTTGGGCACTTAATAAAAGGACCTGTAAAATTTGACACCTACAGGACATACTGATGCTGAGGAAAACAGCACATAACTTACCTTGTGTAACTTTTTTTTAAAAAACTTTTTCCTCCAGTGTAAAGATAATAGTGATTAACGATTAAAACAGGGGGTCTTAACCTTTTTCATACCTCACACCCTTAGGAAATGTTTGATCAATGTTTGCCCCCACTAAAAATAAATGCAACATCACATTTAAAGATGTTCTGATTAGAGCATCACTGATTTGATCATTAAAGGTTACATGATCAGCTAAGTGCTGTGCGTGCTAATTTGGGATGGGAAAAAAAGATAACCCTAAAATAGAATCTTCCTGATGACTGCAATATGAGAAGACAATTGTATACAGCTGATAATTTAGACATGACCTGTTCATAATATTGATACAGTGTAAAAATCAATCCCTGATTTTTTACAGAGTTATTTGAACCTAGTTGTTCTGCATACAAAAAGAGATTTTTTTCTTTTACAAAAAGATTTCTTTTAAATAAAAAAAACAAATGGATACATACATTAATTGAGAAACAGAAATTTACATAAATAAAAGTATGTATCCATTTAAGATAAATAATTATTATCCCCCAATGTGTTTCTATGCTTCAAAATAAAAAAAAAAATGTAAAAAGCTTCAAAAATTTCAAATTACAAAAAATTATAGGTAGATATTAATGTGTAACAATACGATTTATCACACATGCTTAGGAGATAAATAGATATATTCTTCTTTTAAGTCAATTTGATTACTTTTGTTTCCAGTCCATCTTTAAGTCAATTTAATTGCCAGAGTTTTCAGGATTCCTGTCTCCAGACAAACCTTTTCCAGAACACAAGTGGATGGATTGGGGGAGGACCTAACCAGTATCAATATAAGCAGAGAAAGGCAGGAAGTCAGGATAGGTGACCAGTGGCCAGTAAGGAAGGGACCATCGAGCAGTAAGGAATCAGCAGTCACTGAGACAATCAGTGAATGTAAGAGTCCTCTTTCCGTGGCCAGTAGTTAGTAAGATAGAAGACATAGACGGCTAATTGAGAAATTATATTGTTTCTATTTTCCAACCAGTATCTGGAAAAGCATTTGTCGTTCTTTGTTGAATTCAATTACAGCCAAGAAGACAAACCTATCAACATAGCTAGCCAGTGTATATACACATACAACCTACCTTGGATGTCATCACAGGCTGTACTGTGACAATGTGTGGAGTACATTTATCACAAATGACATAAGCACAAACTTGAAATTTGTAAATAACAGCCAAATCCAATAATTCAAATAAAAATTCAAGGATCGATTTTACATTTATATCAAGAACAGGACACTCCTAAATCAATAAAAATATTTTTCAATTTCTGACAAATGTCGCTCCTTGAAGAAAGTCTAATGTCTGCTAAACTATAAAAATTATTCCCTTTTCTTTTCTAACAAGTGAACCTATTTAAGGTGGCACCAGAAATGGTTCCGTAAACTTGTGTAATTTTATGCGTTTGGTTGAACCATTTGCAAACTGCTTGAATCTCATCACTGGGCAGAGTACTGTTGATACACAACTTATTTAAGAACCTGCAAACATATTGATCTGTATATGTAATCACTTAATGAAATCCAGGTAAATTACCTATATGGTTATGTCAATTTCATTTTCTATATTTTAATCAGTTGCCTCATCTTTTATTTTCAAACTGAACACTCAGAAATGAGAAAATGTATCAACAACAGAATATATTAAATATTCTCTCCGACTTGCATGATGTTTCAAAATTCCTAAAACAGTTCATGCAGCACTAATTTTTTTTTTATCATTCAACAACTTCCTATATTCCTAAACAGAAATAATAATCAAAATGCAAAATTTAATAATGAGGCACTGATTTTTATCATTAAATATTTATGAATAATTTGTATTTTTAATGTGTCAGTTTTTCTAACTTTGTCAGAGAATGAAATGATTTCTGGAAAAGATTTTACATGCACATTAGAAATTTTTTTTTTTTTTTTGAAAATCATTTTACCTCAAGCAAGGTGAAAAAGACCCAAAGGGTTACTAAGAGTGAAGGAAACTGCGAAAAAAAAAACATTGCTGACAAGGAAAAAGAAGAAGAACAACAACAAGATTCAAGAAGACAGAAAATGACAACTGACATTGGATTTACATGTTTTAAGATCGTAGTTGACAAGAAAGCAAGCCAGAAAATAATTCCATAAACAAGAAATATGAAAGAAGAAACTATTACTTACTGCGACATTTAGCAACTCTGACAGTAAAATGATGAGACCCAACTGCCAATCTAGTATTGCACTTAAAATTGTAAAGTCCAGGTACCAAAGAAAAAACTCATAACAATTACCAGGAAAATATTTATAGAAAAGCAACATTACAGCAGAGTGAAAATGATTGAAGCTGAGATGCCAGACCAGGACTGATAACATTGCAAATGTAATCAAAAAATAATTTAAAAAAAAAAAAATTAAGTTTAAGAAAAAACTCAAATTCAAAGAATTAATCATCTGAAAAGGTTATTTGAATGCAGCATTTCTCATTCCAATATCACCATTTTATTAAGTTTTTCTCAAACTTCAACGATGGCAGCATTTTGCTAACCAAAACTTCAAGAATATTCTATGAAACATTCTGGCTTTGAATTATTAAGCACCATCAGGGATTAATACTATTCTTGAGAAATAAAATATACACATTACAGCCAATTCCTCCCCTTCAAGTGTCATCTAAATTCTGCTGTTTTTTCTTCAAAATGTTTCGAAGCCGGTTTATTCTTTCATCAATTTCAACCAAACTCAAATCCTGAAAAATAAGATGCAAAGAAAAAAAATTATCAAAAGTACTAAATTGTAAACAAAATGTATTATTTGTTTTTTATCACATTTTTTTTAAACATCACTTGTTTTTATTGGTCTTCTACAAGTAGAACAATAAAATTATAATGAAAAAAACTAAAGTAAAAACCATTTTCTAATATTTAGAATCAAAGTTACTTTAACCTTTGTCACTCTGTAATTTCATTTGCTATGCAAAAATTTTATCCTACCACTGAATTTGAATTTCATAGTTGTGTTGTCATATCCTGCTATGGCAACAGAAAACACCTTTGAGTGAAATTAGCAATAAGCTTACTGCAATTGAGAAAGAGTATAGTGGAAAAGAAAGTAATATTAATAATGCAGAGTGTTAAAGGTTAAAAGAGTTTTTTTTTTTAATCATTTCATCCAAAATAAAGCACTAAGACTCAAGGGGTTACTGAGAGTGAAAGAATCTGAGAAAAATCATTCTTAAAAAGAAGCCAATAAAAAAAGAGGAATGAAGAAGACAGAAGATAACTGACTTTGCATGTGAATTTTTGAAGATCAAAGTTGGATGAAAACCAAGAAAGCAGAAGAGAGTCCCACAAGCAAAAAATACAAGAGAAGAAACTGTTAGCACAGAACTTATGGTTACATCTAGCCATTTCAACTGTAAATTGATGAGACCTAGCTGTCAATCTAGTACTGCACTTAAATTCATAAAGTCTATATACCAAAGAGGAGAGCTCATAAGAACAATTACCATGAAAATATTTATAGAAGATGCACAGGGAAGCTACATTATGGCAATTGGAAAGTGACTGAATCCAAGATGCCAGGTCAAGACTGATAACATTGCAGATTTTTCTTTGGATTTTATCAAGAATCTCTAAATACATAGCAGAAGCAATGGAGCAGATGTAACAGCAATGTCCAAAGCAAGAACAATTAGTAAACTTATATGTAAGATAGATAGATTCTGGAGAAAAATATTGTCTCACAGTGAACCAACTTTCATATCAGCAGACTTTGAAGGTTGATTCAAAATAACCTTTACACTTCATGTCAGTGAAAAACGTTAGTCCAAGAAGTTGCAATGAGTCAATTTCCTGAAGGTTAGTATCAGCCATGCTGATCAATGACAAAAACGATGATTAAAAAAAAAAAGAGAAGTTTCGTTTTGTAGGCATTAAAATTAAGAAGCCATTATTTGCTCCAGTTAACAACAGACTGAAGGTCATTCTTGAGGTCAACTGCCAATTTTTGACCTTATTGAACTGATCAGACTTACCATTAAGACAAGAATAGCATAGATATCAAGTTGAGAACTGAAGACATTGGGAAGAGTGCTGATGAAAATTAGGAAGAATGTGGGTCCAAAGACAGAGCCTGGGGGGGACACTCGAATTAATACAAAAAGATTTACATAAAAGAGTTTGATCAAACTTTATTATCTATTTTGGGATACCTCTCCTTCAACTTTTATACTCGTGGTACAATCAATTTTTGGGGATGTATGGGTTGTGCGACAGTTATATGCACAAAGAATGTAATGCCAAGTTCAATTTCCAATTCTGTTTCTGTTTCCTGAATCCATCTTCCTCAGCTATGGGTTAAATAGTCTGAACTGTTGCCTTGGGTAGCAACCAGTCTAGAAGAAGGAAAAACTCTGAATTCTGCCCTAGACACACCCACTCCTGCTACAGCACATTTAGTACCACAACAACCTAAATGGGCTACAGATGATTGTGATCAGGTGACTGGTACAAAGCTTAACTGAATCTGGCACAAGGTCACAAATGTGGGGCGCCAGGTAAGAATAAAACTTGCTACAATAGTAATTGTCAGTAAAACCAACTTGTTAACTATTACACCACATTGAGATAGCCAATGTTCATCTGAATACAGCACAAGGTCACAAGTAGGGCTGGGGATACCTAGTGAGGACTGAATCCATTTCAATTCTACAAGTTTGCTGAACTAAATCTGTTGTCATTCCACTAATATTTTTCAGTGTTATTTCTGTTTTTATAACAACTAATAGTATGCTGGATTTCATTTTTGTTTTATTAGCATAAGACTCAGGTCAGTCCAAAAATTCATCATGTTTAAAGCATAAAGCAAGGCGCAAAGCTTTTAACACAACTTACAGTAATAATATAAATATATAAAATAACCGTAATCTCTCTCACTAGGGTCTCTTTAAGAATGAAATAAACAAGAAAAGGTTGCTAAGCATGACTTCGCTCAATTAAAAAAACCTGGTGCTAATAATAAAAAAATAAAAAGTGGAGTTAAAAGATGATTTTAATTTTTTTTTAATTTATAGATGAGATAGTTTAGTATCTTGCTATTAAATACTTGTTTATTTAAAAAAAAATAGTAAATAGAAAATATAAATGTAATAAAAAAAAAAAAAATCGAACCTTGAAGATGACCAAAAGTTACCTCCCCTGTTAATTTCCTTACCTTATTTGTAGTATCAGTTGTTTTACATGGACTTGGCAGGATTTTCCTTTTCTTTAAATTGGAAGATTGCAACTGTAATGACATGAAAAACATTGACAAAAACCTGAAGACAGCAGCACATTTTTTATATCATTAACTACAAAAATGATGCAAAAAATGGTTTTCTCTTTTGTTTATTTGAATAAACCTCTTTTTTTATCATTTCACCCCAAGAAATGAAGCCACTAGGATGCAAGAGGTTACTGAATAAGAATTAAGAAAACTGATAATAATGATTGCATTTAAATTTTTGAAGATCAAAGTTGACTGGAAAGCAAGAAGCTGGAAGAGAGTTCCACGGGTGAGAAGTGCAATAAAAGAAACTATTAGCATAGAACTTACAGTTACATCTAACCATTTCAAATGTACAATGAGGAGACCCTGCTACCAATCAAGCACTGTGCTTAAGTTTATGAGAACAATTACCATGAAAATATTTATAGAAAGGACAAAGGGAAGCTATGTTATGGCAGTGGGAAAGAGACTGGAGCTGAGATGCCAGGTCAGGAACAATAACATTGCAGATTCTTCTTCAGACTTTATCAAAGATCTCTAAATATGTAGCAGGAGCACCTGACCAGATGTTACGGCAATATTCAAAGCAAAGACAAATGATAGATTTATAAATATGTAAGATAGATTCTGGCAAGAAAAACTGTCTAGTACAACACATTTGACCAACTTTCCCAGCTGCAGACTTAACAATTGATTCAATATATTCTTTTCAATTCATGTCATCCAAAGACATTAGTCCAAGAAGGTGCAATGAAATGAGTCACTCTCTTGAAGATTATTTACTTTTATTTTACCTCAAAAAGGATAAAATGCACAAACTAAGATTTAAAATGCATTTTAAAATGAAAAACCATTCTTAAAGCTTTTATTTTAGTTTTTATTTCAAAATAATGGACTAAATTAATATTCCCAATAAGTAAATATACTTTGCTGTATTTTAAATCAAATTTTAATTGATTGGAAGTAGTTGGGGTTTTTTGTCTTGTTTTTCTTTTCTTTTTTTTTTAATTGCTAAAATCAGCCATACTGACAAATCTATCAACACAATAAAATTCTCTTTAATAAAAAATTCTTTCAAAAATAAAATGTACTTTGTCATAAGCTATATGTGAGGAACATTAACTAATTTAAAATTTAATTAATCTGAATTAAAACAAATATTTCTTACTTTTAGCTTAAAATATTGCAGAAAAGCATTATTTTAACATGGAAGTGGGTGTTTTTATATGGTGTTGATACATTTATTGATAATTTAATGTTTGGCCATTTTAAGTAAAGGGCACATAACTATAAAAATTACTTGATATATACAACATAAACACCTTTTTTATATAAGTTTTTAACTACCCATTAAGAAAGATTTTGATGTTTGTTGTGGAAAATTTGATGCTTGTTGAGCAAATGTTAGAAAACTATCAAATTTTAAATTTACAATAGTTACCACTCTTATTGTCTGATAATGTTGTGTATGGATGCCCATATTTACAAAAATCGGCATGTTTATACAAACACAAAAAAATTTTAATTTCTTTTTAAAATACTAATTGGGGGGGGCACTTAATTGTAATAAGCTTTTCCATTTATGATTAGTAAATATAGTTTTTACTTAATATCACCTGCCCACTACAAATTAATACAGAATTTTAAAAGATTTTACAACTTTATAAATTATTACAATTAAATTTTTAAAAATGAAAAGAATTCTTGTAAAATTTCATTATTCATCAAAAAAATTTTTTTCTTAAGACATAGTGTCCTGAATATATTTTAATCATAAAAGCAATTATAATCTTTTCTAATTAAATAATGTCTTAGTTTTATTGCATTCTATATTTTATGATTCAAAGCAGATTTTCTATAACTGGGCGTCCTGTTTGACAAAAAAATTTGATGACTTAAATTCTCCAAGGATTTGTTCTTATAACTAATATAAACATTAAGCTCTACAAAAATGAGTTTCTCAAAATTTCATAAACTCAAATAAGTTGAGGATAACAGATGTAAAAAAAATATTTTACCAAGATTTTCTAAAAAAAAATGAAATATTTTTAAAATAATTTAATTCATTTGTGAATAAGTCCTGAATGTTTACTTAGAATCTAGCATTTATCCGAGTTTTGCAAGAATTTCAAAATCAATCTACTTCTCACCATAAAATAATGCTCAAATTTCCCATACTAACTTATGGCCACCCATTGATACAAGAAAAAGAAAATTTTTCACCATCATTTGACCGGTTCTAAAAAGGATTAAAATATATAATTTTATCATCAAAAATCCTTTGGTCTTTCTTCTTAGTAATAACAAAGATTTTCATGATTTTTATCAAGTTTGGGGCATTTTTATTTTCATCATGTATGCTCCTTTTTTTAGCAAATCTGTAAAGATAACTACTTTTATTTGAATATTTACTATTTATAAGTATTTACTAAGATTAGTTTAGTCTGGAACAAGGCCACAAGTATATGACCCTCAATAAAAATTGAGCCCCTTATTGTGCACCAGCTCATAAACCATTACCAAACAGTTTAGGAGCACACAGTACTAACCAATTTCATTACAGCAACAGTCTTTGAGACTAGCTTGTTAAGCATTACTTAATTACAAAGCATTTAAATATTTACAACAATTTTAATCATGTAGAAAAGACTTCAGATTAACAGAGATAAAAATTGAATTTTCAAAAATAATGACAGTGATTATGCAAAAACTTCTGACATCACAAAATAAGCAATAATTTAATTATGTACTGGTTGGTTTATTAAATATTTCATTCCAGGAACTAATATCCAGATTATTTCAAAACAGACAAGCTGCTCGTCTTCATCCTCATCTTTATTATCAATATTTTCTTTAGTCATTTTTTTGTTCTTATTTAATGTTGCCTTTTTAAAATGGCATTGACATCATTAGAATCTGTAACTACTTTGATTAAGCACTATGGATTGAAACTTAAATAACAGTCACTGCCAACCAAATTTTAATTTGATTGGAACACTTTGGAGCTATTTTTAGAATGAACATCAAGTTTACCAATTTAGAGTCAAAGCAGCTTTTTCACTCCTTTTTTAACAATAATATTGTTTCATTATCTCAAAATAACAAGGGAAAAAAGTCTTAAGTGGTCTGGAGGATTTCCTTTATTTTTGGACTAGTTTTTTCAATAATTTTATTGTTGCTTTTTATCTCAATATAGTGTGGATAATCGCATAAAAAGATGACTGCTACATTTTTGTTTTTAAGACAAAATGAGGAATTGTCTGAAGTTCTGTTAAAAAGCATCATTACAGATATTAGTCTATTATCATTACTATTATTATTCCATCACCAGCATTATCATTATTTCATAATCATCATGACCATCATTAATATTCTATCACGATTATTATTATTATTATTCCATCATCATCATTAATATTCTATCACGATTATTATTCCATCATCATCAATATTTTATCATGATTATTATTATTATTCCATCATCATCATCATCAATATTTTATCACGATTATTATTATTCCATCATCATCAATATTCTATCACAATTATTATTATTATTCCATCATCATCATCAATATTTTATCACGATTATTATTATTATTCCATAATCATCATCAATAATATTCTATCACGATTATTATTACTATTCCATCATCATCATTATTATTATTATTATATCATCATCATATCATATTATTCCATCATCATCATCATTATTTTTCTATGATCATCATTATTCTATTATTTGGTCAAACGAGGATCATTGCCTTTTTAGTTTGGGCCAGTGATGTGGTATTTAGCACAAATTCAAAGGTAGAGTCTACATTACCTGGATATTGAAATATTCAGGAGATATGCTTTCCAGAAACAAAATTCTTTTCTCAAGAGCCTTTAGCCTCTCAAAGATTTCTGACTTGTTTGAAATAGAGTCTGGAGGGAAAAAAAAACAAAACAAATTTTTTGAACATTAAAAGCAGAGATACAAATAAATGATGGAAAATAAGAAATTTTATGAATTTTTCTTACACAGTATTTCCTTTGAATATATATACATTTGATTAGCACTCACATGACAACTGTTGTATTCTAAATGAAAATTTGCCATACAAAAGGACCAGTGTTTACAATTGTATTGCCAGTAGGACCACAGTGCTGAAGTACAATATGTATAGTCAAGCACATCTGGGCATGTTAGAAATTCCACTTTCTTGAGATGTAGACCAGTATTCATTGCTGAGCAGTAGAGGAAATTGCACCTGTTCATGTTATATTGTGGTCAGAAAATGAACAAAATATAGAGCAGTAGATTGACATCAAGTCTTGTGTGAAGATTGGTAAACAGGCAAGTGAAACATTAGCCCACTTAAAAAATGGCTTATGGTGAACATGCTATGAATAATTGCACTTGCACATGATGTGTTAGGGAGTTCCTGGCTAAGATATCCATGGCCAAAAATGGGACATTAACCTTATTCCCCAGACTAGGCCAACCTTTGATTTTTAGCGATTTCCAAAATTGAAAAAAATGCCCTGAAAAGAAAAAGATTTACTGACATTCCTGACATCTAGCAACACATGACTACATTACTGAAAGATATTCTGAAAAACAAGTTCCAAGAATGTTTCCAGCAGTGGTACAAAGTATATAGATTCAATGTAAAGTATGTTGAAAGTAACAGCAACCAACAGTGACCAGGGAAGCAAACTTCACACCTGAGCAGATGGATATATAAGAGAGATGGGCTTTGGCAAATACACAGATAAAAATAGATGGGCCTTAGCAGGTGGACAGATAAAAATAGACAGGCTTTGGCAGATAGACAGATAAAAATAGACGGGCCTTAGTAGGTAGACAGATAATGATAGACGGGTCTTAGCAGGTGGATAGATAAAAGAGAGATGGGCCTTAGCAGGCCAGAAGATACAGAGAGATGGGCCTTAGCAGGCGGACAGATACAGAGAGAGTTATGCTTTAGCAGGTGGACAGATAAAGAGATATGAGCCTTTTTAGGTCTTGTAAAGTTCCAGAGAATTTCAAAACAAGTAAAATGACAAAGTTATCATTTACCAGTCATTAGTAGTTAAAGTCCACTACAAAAAAAAACTGTAGCCCCAATAATGACACAAAAAGATATTAATGTTGAAATTAATGACATCTGAAATTCAATCAAAAAAGGAAAAATGAGATTTTTAGATTTTAAATGTTAATTTTGCAATACTCTTACTAACCAGGAGATATTTTGAGATGGGCTTCCATATTTTTCAGCCTTTCTTCAATTCCAGAAGGTATGTCTTTTGGTTCCTGCTTGATAGGAACTTCTCCTGCAACATTCAGGTGATAATTGTGCATCATAGAACCAGGCTCACATTTTACATCAGGCAGTTTTGTCATCGAAGGTGTACAACTCAGAACCCGCAACTGAGGACCATTAGCATTTACCACTCGAGACACTGGAACCACAAAAATAAAGTTTAAAACAAAAAAAAAACAAAAAAACTTTCAAATCAATATTCAAAATCAATATCTAATATTTCTTAGGTATATCAACACTCTCTTAAATTCACACTAACATAAGTTTATATATATATATATATATATATATATATATATATATATATATATATATATATATATATATATATAAATAAAAAAAAGATAGAACAGTAAGATATATAATCCAGTGTTCTTAAAGATATTTTTATTTTTACAAAATAGTGCTCAATGTAAATTTATAGAGCATTAATATTACAAATTAATTGATTTAAAATATGTTTTTTTCGCTACACAGTTCTAACCATGTTTCAAAAATGGAAGCTATATTATAATTATTTTTTGAAAAATATGATTCCATTGCAACACAGAAATTACTATGCTTTGATGAAAGTAGAGGTGTTTGTTATATGTCAAGTTTTTGTCATCCAAAAGTTAAAGTTTAATATTGAAATTAAATTTGAATATGGATGACCAGTTTCGAAACATAGTAATTCCTTTGTCGTGATTGAATCATATTTTTAAAAAATAATCATAATTTAGGCTCTATTTCTGTATCAAGCATTGTTTTTTAAAAAGTAAAAACAAAAATACTAAAGAACTTTGGATCATCAGTTCTTTCCTATTATATCAATATATATACACCCACACGCACATATATATATATATATATATATATATATATATATTTGAATAAAGACAAAAGGAAAAATTTTATCTTAGCTGATGTGTTTCATCCTCTGAGAGACTTTTTATCAAGGTAAATACAAAGGTTTTATTTCATAACAAGTATCATGTCATTGTCATCCATATCTTGCCTGAGTTTGCAATAAACCTGATGAATATTTATGACCATTCTTAAATCCAACTTTTTTGAAAAACCAATAACATTTTTGCTCTTGTATATAAATACATGCTATAAAATAAAGCCTTTGCATTTGCCTTGACAAAGACCCTCAGATGACAAAACACATCGAGCAAAATAAGTTTTCCTTTTGTCTTTATTCATAGTGTGCTTTTACAGATATACCCCATCCGAAATTTTAACACACACACACACACGTTGCCATGGGCTAATGAGAGAAATTCGAAAAATGGAATGATAATGTTTATTGTATATTTTTAGGCCACTTCAAATTTTTCTCATCACCTTTTATATATATATATATATATATATATATATATATATATATATATATATATATATATATATAGGTGGCCTGATGATTGCATGAAACAGCCTGTCATCTCTGAGTACTGACCTCAATGTTCACTTTTATATTTATATATGCTCTATCTCTAATATTGAGCACTTTATCCCATAAATATAGAACACCTTAAAACTATATATATATATATATATATATATATATATATATATATGAATTTCCAATTTTCAGTATTACTTGTTGACAATCTCGGCTTTCACATTCAATGCATATGACAAAACTTGTGAAAATAAATTTTAAGTTACAAAATTGAAAATCTGATATATAATCATTTTTTTTTATGTCTCCTTCACAAGTTGATAGGTTGTGGTGTCTCAGAACAAATTTTTGAAGTCTGTTGTTAACTGGGGTAAAGACTGGCATGTTAATTTTAATGCCTCTGAAAGAAAACTGCTCTCTGTTAATCATCTGAGAGACCCCTTTCTGTCTTCCATCTGTATGGCTGATGCTAACCTCCGCAAGAGTGACTTGTTGAGACTTCTAGGGTTGATATTCTCAGCTGACATGAAGTAGAAGGACAATATTGAATCCATTGCTAGGTCAACTTGCTCAGAAAGTCAGTTCACTGTGTCATGGTAGACAATTTTTCTCTCCAGAATCTATATTACATATCTATAAGTCTACCATTTGTCCATGTTTAGAATATTGTTGCCACATATGATCCAGTGCTATTGCTGATTCTAGATAAAATCCAAAGAATCAGCAATATTACTATTTCTGACCTGGTATCTTGGCTTCATTCACTTTCCCCACCACCATAAAGTTGCTTCCCTGTGCCTTTTCTATAAATACTTTCATGGCAATTATTCGGACGAGCTCTTCACTGTTGTGCCTAGACTTTATGTATTTTAGCACAGTAATAGATTAGTAGCAAGGTCTCATCAATTTACCATTAAATTGTATAGATGTGTCCACAAATTCTATGCTAACAGTTTCTTTTCTCACACTTCTTGCTTGTGGTACTCTCTTCCAGCTCCATTCTTCCTGACCAACTTTGATCTTCAAAAATTGAAATGCAATGTCAATTGTTATCTACTGTCTTCCTGATTACTCTTATATTGTTCCCACTTGTTAATAATGTTTCTGTATCTGTCTATATTTCTGAGATGAGGTATTATGCATTATACTATTTACACTGTTCAGAATAAATTGTTCCCTTTGGAGCATGGAGAGGTGAATTAACAGGAGATAACTGATAACTGACATCCATTAAACATGGCATGTGGAAATAGAACAGTCTACCCCAGCGAGAGAAATAAAAGGTTCAGCTTGACATTCCAACCACCTGAAGAAGGCCAGAGCATACAACGGCCGACATGTTGTGATAAATATGGCAACAAAGATGAGGATGATAGTCTGAACAATGTAAATAGTGTAAATAATGTTTCTGTTTTCTAATTCTTTCACACCCAATAACCCCTTGTATCTTAGTTGCTTTAGTGCCTTGCTTGAGGTAAAGTCAAAAGATTTTTTTTAAAACTGCCATAAATATTTACTGCCTATCAGAAATTATTTATATTATTTAAATCACAAATTCAATAACTAAAAAAGTCTAGAATCAATATTTGTCAAATTTAAACTTGTCCATTTCCACCCTTGGTAAAATTGCTAGCAAAATTTTAATGGTTATATTTTGAGAGCTTGAGGCAAAGGAAAAGTCTTTAAAAACTTGTCTCCTTGAGGGGGAATGTAAATTAATGCGAGTTATAGCAAAACAATCACTTTTCACCAGTGCTCAGATCTTTGAACAAGCTGTAATTCACAGAGTCAAAGAGGACAAAAGATGTTGAATGCTTCGTAAATTGAGATTGGTCAAGAAACCTCTTTGGCAAACTCCTCTCAGTAAAGCAAATAGTTTAAAGCATCAAAATTGAGGCCAAAAATACATCAAAATTGACTTTTCTAAAGTAATTTTCACAGATGAATCTCAGGTGACAATCTGATGGACAGGCCAAAGGATGGATTTCATCTGATGCAGATGTCCCTGTAGCTAAAAGAAGGCAGTAACGAGGCAGCAGTGTCAAGATATGGGCTGGTTATAATTTTCTTTGAAATATACAAGAGAATTTGAGAAGTATTCCAGAAATTATTTGAAGTGATTCTATTTAATACAAAAAAAAAAAAAAAACAACTTACCAGCAACATGACTTCGACCACCTGAACGAGCAACGAATACGGCGCTGGTGCGGGCACATTGATCACCATCACCTAAAAATAATAATTAGATATAAACGTATAATTATATACGTCAAAGATTCATATAAAAAATATTTTTAATTGAACAAAGGGGAACAATTTATTCCTGAATTGCCTCCCTTGCATACTACAAACCTATTTTCGTTTTTTTAATGTAATTTATTTTTAAATATCTTACTCTTTGTACCAAATACAAGTGTCGTCTGAAATAGTCATGCTAGTAAGAATATAAGCAGCATATCAGAATGATTAAAAGAAACAAAAACAAAAACACTCGATCTCAGAATCCCAGGTCTCATTCCTCCAATCGTAAATCAAGGTTTCTTTAATTTTGAATCGTCATCCCACCATTATGGCTGATGCTCTTTTGTACTAAATACAAGTGCCGTCAGCAACAGTCATACCGCTAGAAATTTTTCAACTAATAAAATAAACATACCAGCTCAAATAAAACGTTCTGCTGGATTTTCTTTTCCTGGAATTAAATAATTATCCTGTGGAGATTTAGATCTAGATAGGGTATTTTTACCAGCACACCAACCCCACGGGGCATTTTGTGCCGAATCAGGTAGTTTTAAGATTTGTTTTTATTTTGTGTCTATTTTGCAGAAAAATTCTTTTATAAGCCGTTATTATATAAGGGTGGGGATGTAATTCAGTTTTAGTTGCATTTTGTCGTCGGGTGTTTATTCGATGATGTGGAGAAAATTAGATGAAAAATAATAATAGGTGCTGGAGGCAGACATTGAAGAAAATAATTAAGTCATACCAACATTTGTATTTGGTATTAAAAAAGTAGCTGATGAATTAGTATCAAACAATTAGTCTTTTATACTAAATACAAGTGCTGCCTGAAACAAACATGTCAGCAAGAATTTTTTTAACTTATAAAATAAACATACCAGTTCAAATAAACAATTTGTCAAGAATTTTCATATAAGTTTAATAAACATGGAAGTAAAAAAAGAAATTAGAACCATATGAAATAAGCACCCAGAGAGCCAAGGAGGGGATTTAATCACGCCAGAATTTGTATTTGGTGCACAATTAATCTCTTACACCAAATACAAGTGCCGACCAGAATAATCACACCAGTGGGAATTTTTGAATTCATAGAATAAACATGTAGATTCAAATAAAAATTCTGCCAGGAATTTATAATTCCTAAAAAAAAATAATTATACCACAGAGAAAATTATTTTTAAAAAATAAGCATTATGCTGGAAGAGAAAATCATTTTAACCATTTCAGCCCCTGTAGTTGTTACACAAGAATATATCACTGATGATATTTCATGGTAATACAGTGTAACCCGGATATAAGAGATTTTCTCTGGTCCCAAATTAGAGCCTGTGTTAATGTATATAAAATAGACCAAACCCAGATATAAGAGACCTCTTCTCCGGTCCCGACAACTCTCTTATATCCGGGTTACACTCTACATTTCAATGATGAAATACTGCGAAAGGTGATAGACTTATAAATAAAATCTGCAGATTGAAGAAGAATTGAAACAACCTCATTTTAATAATAATTAAGAATATTTCAACATCTGTATATTTCTGAGATTAGGTGTTGTAACTATTTACACTATTTATATTGTTCAGACTGTTATCCTCATATTCAATGTCATATTCACAACATTTCGTCCATTCAAGTAATATACATTTAAATTTTGAACCAAACCCTTTATTTAGTCTACTGGGGTAGATTGTTCTCATTCCACATGCCATGCCTTTTCTGGATATCTCAGTTTCAATTATTTCCCTTTAGTAACTCAACTCCCCAAGTTTGTGTTCACCTCTGCAGTGGCAAGGCTGTAGAGGGGGATTGATATGTGTTCAAATTTCTTCAACGAAAATAAACAGAAAAGCATGGAAGAATACTGAGAAAAGACAAAGGCATTTATATTAAATAACAAACAATTTTCATTGATATTGTAAGAAGATTACAATGATATGTATTGTAATAAGCGTAGATATTTTATTGAAATCTTGTATTGTTTGTTTAATGTTAAACTCTATATTTATGCATGTGTGAATGATGCTTGTGAGTTTAACTGAAAGGTTAAGTGTTGCAAAAATTGTGATTAAAGTTTCACAAAGTGGAACGTAGTAATAAACTGTTGATAAAAAAAAATTAAAGAGTTTGTGTTAGACAATAAATTTACATTAAATTTGTGTAAATTTAGTTTGAGTAAAGTTGTCTTCCTTCAACTGCTGCTGAAGTTTGAATATTCATGAAAGCTTGGAAGATGTTGCAATGTTTATTAATTAGCAGGAATAATTATGAGCTGCTGGGTAAATGAAGTGATGAGTGAGTGAAAATTTCTTGATGCTTGTGTTCTATGCTCACAAGTAACTTAGAAAACTTCAGATGAAGTGACATAGGTTCGTGTAAAAAATAGTTTGTAACCCCTTGCGTCCTAGTGGCTTCCCACCTTGCTTGGGGTGAAATGCTTAAAAAAAAAAAAAAAGTCACAATGCTCACTGGTGAAGTTGAGTTAGTTTTCTGTATTTATTTACTTGGGTAGGCTCCAGAGAAATATGCACCAAAAATTTTAACTTGGTCATGCGATGGAAAAAAACTTGTGTGTGGGTGGATAGCAACACTTACTTGTATGTTTATTGACCAATTAGAACTTGAATATTCAAAAAATATGTGCAAAGTTGGATCTGTTCAAAAACTCACTGTGATCCACTTTTTACATAGTAATCGAACAAGTTATTTTTAGTAATTTGTAAAGATGTAGAATTAGGATTCTACAAGGTATTGAACTCACAACTCTTTGGATTACTTCAACCAATGCTTTTATCCACTAGGCTATATTTCATTTTCAGAGTCTACATGAGAATGAATGTAAGAAACACATTAAGATGATCATTTAAATTTCTATGTTTCCTGGTGCATTGATTAAACTGGAGTAATTTCCCATGTATAATACGCATTTTTTTCTAAAAAATAACAAGCAAAATCAGAGATGCATATTATGCACAGCTACAAAATATCTTTAAAAATTTGCCATAAAATAAGAATTTTCATAAAACTAAATTAGAATAATTTTATTCTATGTTTAAAACCATTTTTTAAAAATAAGAGTAGGAAACACTGACTGTAATGAAATTGGAGCAGTACAATTTATAGGGTTTGATTACCAAACAATGAGTGTGTATTATGCATCAGTAGAAGCATTTTCCCACACATTCAGCACAATTTTAGAGGTGCATATTATGGGTAAATGTGTACTATACATGGGGAATTATGATAATCGCTTCGTCTGTCTTCTAAACAGATTAAAGAGAAGTCATAATATTTCACTGAAAATTCATCAATAGTGCATATATTCTGTATGCAGTGATGGTAATGGAAGAACATGGAAAAACATGGCTGCTTTCTTAAGATAAAAAAATAGTTATCTATATAATATCTCACAAGCTCAACATCTCATATAATTGCAATATAAACGTTGTTGTATATCAGGTTTTATGAAACACTGGGGTCCATGTATATTTTTCAGATTCATTGGTAGGGCAACCATGAGGCCACATTATGCTATAGTTTTAGCCACTTTCTCACCAGTTTGTATTGCTAATGATGATAGTGATTATTTTGGGCCTTTGTCTCCTTAACAAAACCTTCTGATGACAAATACATTGAAAAGAAATAAGAGCAAACCAGTAAACCAAAAATCACCTAACTCCCTCAACCTTTCTTTCACCAATATTCATAGAATACGTTCCAATTTCTAAATGTTCCCCAGATATCTTTGCAAAACTAATTTAAATTCTTCTATTGCTACCAATGAATTCTCTGCTTCTTGATTTCTAATCAAGTTTGATTTTCAAATGTTTGAATCCAATGTCAATCGTTATCTTCTGTCCTTTTAAATTGTTTTTTTTTTTTTATTGTTCTCTCTCTTTAATGTTTTTTTTTATATTCCTTCATACTCAGTAACCCCTTGCATGCTAGTGGCTCCGTTGCTTTACTTGGGGGTGAAATGATTTACAAAAAAAAACAAAAAAAAAACAACATTCATTTGAGTAGTTAGAAATTTGTAAATTAAATTTTAAATACACTACTTTTTGAAACAAGGTTCCAAAAGAAGTGAGGTAATAGGTCACTACACTACAAGTAACATAAAAAAAATTGGTAAACATGGACCTTCATACCTGCAAAAATAAACAAAAAAAAAAAGGATGGTTTTTCAATTGATACTGCTATTATTTTAACTACGTTCACTTCTTGGCAGTGTTTATTAGAGATAAATTATTTTTGTAAATAAATAATCTAATAGATATATATAAATAGAGAGAGAGAGAGATAGATAGATAGATTTAGATATAGAGATAGATATATAGATAGATGAGGTGTATTTATTTCTTTTAAACAAGTTTTGTTGAACAATACCACAAGGTCTGTCTGTTGAATTTTTAAAGGCCAATTTTGAATTCAGAGTTTTCTTCTCCTAGACTGGTTGCCATCCAAGGCTATAGAACTGTCCATGAATCTGTATGAATCCTTTTCTCCACCACCCATAGCTGGGTTGGGAGAAGAGGATTCATACCTGTTCCAAGGGTATTAGAATGTAAGTGAATGTAATGGATATGACTGGAATTCCAACTTGGCTCTCCAATTCCTCAATCTGAGCCGCTATCCATTATTACACCATTCCTGCTGCTTTAAGACCAAAAGCACCCAAATGTGCCTGCAGGTTTTACATGCTTACAGCCCAGGAGTGCACCTGAATGTGCCTGCAATGAGGCAGCAATGAATTTCAATATACAGCATTAACAACCTTCCCATGGGCAACAAGAGGCAGCAGAAGTCTAAAATCATATCTCATAATGAGGCTAAATATCTCATAATGAGGTTAAATTTGGTTATCATTTGAAAGAGAAATCAGTTTACTTTCATATAAAATCAATTTGTAATACTTGATTTTCAAAGCTTTTTGAGAGATTTTTTTTAATCATTTCACTCCAAGTAATGTTACTAGGACAGAAAGGGTTCCTGGGAAAGAGAATGAGAAGACTTTCATGGAGAGATAGGAAGCAGCAAAAATAGAAATATGCTACAATACATTCATAAGGTAACAAGTATTTGAATTTTTTTTTTTTTTTTTTTTTACAAATTTGGATCAAAATTTTACACAATATTTATTTTTTTAAACATTTCACCCCAAGCACTTTGACAATGCCACCAGGAGACAAGAGGTTACAGAAAGTGAAAGAGAATGAGAAGACTTTAATGAGGAGAAGTGAAGAAAAGGTCAATAGGAGAAGAAGTTTCAGGAAGACAAAAGATGACGATTGGCATTGCATTTTAATCTTTGAAGATTGTAGATGGCAGGGAAGTAAGAAAGTGGAATAAATTCCACAGGCAAGAGATGCAAGAAAAAAAGGCAGTTCCAGTATGAATATCATAACTTACCATGTTCTGGGTAAAGATCAGAGCAAAACTCTCTTCTGTTTTCTTCGTCAACATCCATACGCTTGCATTCTATGAAAGAAGCTATCCGTCGTTCAATCTGATTGTGGGGGAGAAAAAAAAAGTCAACTTTAATATCAATTTTATCAGGGGCCAAAAATATAGCTTTTAGGTACACTTTTCTCGATCAAGCATTGTGACATGCAAGTAATAAGACATTCTGTTTAGACATCTGACAATGGAGAAGTAAATTCATGCTTTACCAAAATAAAAATAAACTACCTTTATTAGAATTACATCCTGGTTTTGATTTTTCATTCTAAGTACTAAACATTCATCAACCTGAGAGCTCAAAAAAAAAAAAAAACTTGAACACAAAATATGTCACACTAGATTTTTGTTAATATCTACAATTATAGGCCAGCTATTTTTTTCATATGCTGTACGCAAAATCCCCCAAATAAACAAGCAGCTCATTTCAATGAGGGAGGAAGAAAAACCAGTAGAAATTGTAAAAATAACAACTGGATGATTTTTAATAAAAAAAAATTTAAATATAATGCCATGGTTTAAATATTTTCAAATGTGCTACTAGATTGGCAACTAAGTCTGACTGTTTTATGTTGAACTAGATGCAACTGTCAGTTCTATTCTAATAAGTTTTTTTCTCGAACTTCTTGCCTGTGAAACTCCCTTTGCCAAAAATGTTGTTGCCATATTCTCAACATTTCAGCCATTGTAGGTGATTGGAATTTCAAACCAAACCCTTTATTTTGTCCACCAGGATAGACTGCTTTAGTTCCACATACCATGCCTTTTCCGGATATCTCAATTTCAGTTATTTCCCTTTAATAACTCAAGTCTCCAAGTTTTTTGGGTCAAGTCACTGAATTACTTCTACTTCAACCTATGCTTTTATCCGCTGGGGCCATATGACCTGGCTACAGCAGAGATGAAAAAAACCTTGGAGAGTTGACTTAGTAAAGAAAAATAACTGAAACTGAGATATCAAGAAGAGGCATGGCACGTGGAACAAAAAACATTCTACCCCCGTGGACGAAATAAAAGGTTTGCTTCCAAATTCCAGTCACCTGAACAAGGCTAGAGCATACAATGGCTGAAACGTCCTGAATATTACAACAAAGATGAGGACAACAGTCCAAACAATGTAAATAGTGTAAATAGTTATGATACCTCACCTCAGAAATATACAAATGTTGAAATATTTATTATTATCAAAATGAGGTTGTCTCAATTCTTCTTTGATCTGCAGATTTTATTTACAGGTCAATCACATAGACAGATACCAGATTTTATAGTAGGCATTAATGGGTTAATATAATTAATAAAAAATATGTTTATATTAATATTTGCCTGCTTGTTTGGAACATTATGACTGCCTACCTCCTGAAGCAACACAACATATAAAAGAATAACAAGGAAAAGTTTATTAAATGTTGCGATATAAACCAACAATAAGATGGTAGAAAACTGTTAATGAACTCAAGAAATATAATAAATGAAAATAAATATAAAATCATGGGGGGGGGGGGTAAAGATAATATCAATTTTTTTATAAATCTATAAATTAATATTGTACTTGTTTATAAAACTATAATACAGGGGTGGGGGGGATCAGCAAGCTATAATATCAAATTTTTATAAATCCATAAAATTAATATTGCACTTTTAAATAAAACTATATCAGGTTTTTTTTTGGGGGGGGGGTTGTTTTTCTTTTCAGCAACCTATAATTAATGCCAGATTTTTATAAATCTATAATATTACACTTTTAAAAAAAAACTATATCAAGTTTTGGGGGTTTTGTTTTTTTTTCTTTTCAGCAACCTATAATACATGCCAGGAGGCATGGTGGAGTAATGGATAGTGGCTCAGTTTGAGGAATCGGAGAGCCTAGCTTGAATTCCAGTCAAATCCATTACATTCACTTACATGTTAATATCCTTGGGAAAGGTATGAATCCTCTTCTTCTCCCCCACCCCACTCTGAGCTATGGGTAAATAGCAGTACAGACCAGGTTCTATAGCCTTGGATGGTAACTGGTCTACTGCAAAAAGAAATAGCAACCTACTGCAAGAAAAAATCTGCCTCGTCAGTCATGTATCAAAACTATATGTATAACTATAAAAAAAAATAATAATAATTAAAATGTTGTCTTTTTCATCTCAATCTTCTGTCATTGGAGGCTAATGTTAGGATTTAGGTTTTAATTCCTCAAAATAATTCTGATGCCAATTCCAGCACTTAGAAAATGATTACTCACTTCAGATTTGTTGGCAACAATTTGTACCAAATTCTTATTGGTAGCTGAAACTGATGGTCCATTTTGCAAAGTGCTCTTGTCTGGTGAAGAATCTTTAACAGTTTCAGTAGACAGCAACAATGGTGCATCATTCTTAGTAGCAGCAGCAACAGAACTTTCTCTATTCTCAGCATTTGTGGATGGTTTTGAAGAAATACCTTTGATATTCTTTTGAGTAGAAGAAACTGTATCAGAATTATTCTTCAATGTCACATTTATTTCCTGGAATCAAGATGAAGATGAAAGCTAAATCAATGATAGACATTTAACAAATAGAAAAAAAAATATTAATGACAATTCTTTTTTTTTTTTTTTTAAATCATTTCACCCCAAGCAAGGCAGGAATTCAACTACTACACTGACAGTTTGTGATGGGGGTTGTGACGAAGATTGAAAGTGAGAGAAAAGACAAGGTAATGGGAGGATTGAGGAAAGGATAAAAGATGAATGGGGTTCAAAACTTCAGAAGAAGGAGATTGACTTTGCATTTAAATTTTTGAAGATTGCAGTTATCAAGGAAGCAAGTAGAAGGGAGTTCCACAGGGGAGAAGTGCGAGAAAGGAAATTATTGGAGTAGAAGTGGCAGTTACATTTAAAACTATTTCAACAGTAAAAGGGTGGGATTTAGATGCCAATCTAGTAGCAAACTTAAACTCATGTACTTAGAGCACCAGGGAAAAAAAGCTGTTGTGTAATGGTTAGCATATAGGAGCATGTGAATGATGTAATGGTTAGCCTATGAGGAGCACATGGGTGGTCTATGGGGGACATATGGGTGATGCCATGGTTAGCTTATGAGGGGTACGCAAGCGGTGCAATGATTAGTGGCTCAGAATGAGTAATCAGCAAGCTGAGTTCAATTTGCAGTTAAATTCACTTTCATGCAAAGGTACAAATTCATCTCTTCTCCCCCAATGCTATGGGTTAAATGGTAGAAGAGGTAGGGTTTCTGAATTCAAAACTGGTTGGGCATGGGAAAAACCTACTTGCTATAAAAACCACAGCCACAACATACAGCATGTTGAGGCTGTAGTACCATGACCCACAGCTGGTGCATATGGGTCTTGAGACAATTTTTTGCCATATTTTCTTTGTTTTTTTTTCATCTCTGCTCCCCAACTTCAAATGACACTAACAAAAACTGACCAAGACAAATTTTTTGCCTTTTTAGTCTAAGTTCCCAAACATTAAAACAATTTAAATTTGCAAAATGTAAGAAAAATGTTTTCAGGGAGATATTAAAAACACATTCAGTTCCTTTCATATGTTTAATTGATCACCAAATATGAGTTACCAACATAACTTACCTTGTATTTATCAGAAAATCACAATCTAGACCTATTGATGCTTTGTGGGTAGCTGAATCCATTTTTGGCACTGGAAAACATCACCCTGCCAAGTAAGTCTAAATGTGTTAAATAATTAAGCTTTTTTCAGGAATTTTCACTCTTCACTGCTGACCACAGTTTATAGATGTAAACCCGTATTTTTGAATTAAAAATATGTAAGTATGTTTCAATTTTCCTTTGAATATAAAGAACATTAATAGAGTAGCCTAAATGAGCTGAAAATCATTCAATGATTCAAAAACTACAATTGTCCACTTTGCTTTTATTTCACGGGTGGCCAAACCATGGCTTGTGGAACCATACGTGGCTTGGGGAAATATGTTGGCCAAGCTCCTTTTTTCCATCATAGTTAATATAAAAGATAAATAAGAAAAATTTCAAGCTTTATAATTATTTACTGGGTATAAATTGAGACCCCATTGGATTGAAACCTAAGTTTAATGTTCATGGTTAGTAAAAATATTGAAGAATTTAAATCATAATTTAAATACTAGATCCGATTGAAGGATTGTTCTTTAGTGCTGAGAGAAGGAATGGTCAGAGACAGATGGTTTAAAGAAATTTCCGGCCAGGAAGGGTTACAGAGGAATGTCAGAAGATTGAGGTCATGGGTGAGGGGATTAAAGATTTGGGTGCACCGGGGTGGAGTGAGAGTGATCACATGTGTATGTAAAGAAATACTTATGTGTAAATATTGTTCAGGTCTTGCAGCTCTCAAAACTCCGAACTTTATCATATGTGGCTCTTACATTAAGCAAGTTTGAACACTCTGCTCTGTTGTGTGAACCCACTATAAGTTGAAGTGATTTCGCTTGTATCTGTACTAAATCGGTCCTAAAATAGGTTCAACGGACAAAACGTTAGGAACTTGATTGTATAACGCAGAGTAATCTAGTTGTGGTCGCTGATACTTTCGTATTCGATTGTCGTCCAACATTGACCAACTGACTTGTTACTCTTACTACTCCTACTTATTATAGGTGAGAGAGTCTATTAACTATAGAATAGGTGTGTTCCACCATAACACCACTGTAAGTTGGAGTGTATGGAGAAAGAGAGGTTTAGTTTGTTTTGTTTTACAGCATATCAACCTCAATGGGTTATTTAATGCCAACAAAATTTTCATTGTTGGTAATATTTTTATCTAAATATCTATTTCTGGTAATATTTTTTCCTTCAAAAATCTATTTCTGGTAATAATTTTCCTTCGCAAATCTATTTCTGGTAATAATTTTCCTTCGCTGGCAATATTTGTTTTTCAAAAATGCATAGCTGGTAATATTTTTTTTTAAATGTATTGCTGGTAATATTCCATTTTCAAAAATGTACTGCAGGCAAAGCACCTCTGGCACTAAAACCCATTTCCACACCTTCACTAAGGGCCAACCACCTACCCACAGCTGGGACCCCAACAGGTGCCACCACCACAGGCCAGGGCGGACCTGGGAACACCAGCAACCAAGAGGCAGCTCCACGCTCCTCAAAACCTCCCGACAAGAGGCTCCACTGCTGGACACAGCCCATCGTCCCACCGAGAACGCAGATGCAGTTCTGCGTCTTACCCAGGATGGGGAGAAAGTGAGAGATTTCTATGACTCTTGTCAAAATGAGAATAAAAACATGAGAGAAACAATCAAAATGTATACACATTTTTTTCTTTTTAAAATACACTAACCAGTTATAAAGTCCTAACTTAGCATCTCAGCTTTGGTCATTTCCCCACCACCATAATGTAGTTTCCCTGTACCTTTTCTATAAATACTTTCATGGTAATTGTTTTGATGAGTTTTCCTCGTTAGTACCTTGACTTCACAGATTTAAGCACAGTACTATATTGGCAGCTAGGTCTCATAATTACCCTGTCAAAATTGCTAGTTGTAACCCTAAGTTCTATCCTAACAGTTTCTTCTCTTGCACTTCTCGCTTGTGGAACTCTCTTCAGACTTCTTGCTTTCCAGCCAACTAAGATCTTCAAAAATTTAAATGCAATGTCAATTGTCATCTTACATCTCCTTGAATCCTGTTCTTTTATTACCCTCTCTCTTTCTTTCACTTTAAATAAGTGGCTTTATCACCTTGCTTGGGTTGAAACAATTAAAAAAAAAAAGTTAAAAAAAAGACCTATCTAATATACAACAGTTGCAAGGGCTCAGTTCCAAAACATTTTTCTGATCTTTTTAATGAGCCTAAAATTTTTACAAGTCATTACAGTCTATAAATATGTTATTAATCATGGAATTAAATGCAATATTTCACCTTTAAAATGAAACAAACATTCTTTAAAAAATAAAAAAAACCGCTTTCAACTTACATTCAAATTATCAACAAATTTATTAATGGCATTTCCCACTTGTTCTGCAGGAAGACTTGTTTCTGACATAACATAACTTTCCAAATACTGCCACACATTTTCGTTTTCCCCTATGATCTTTATTTGAAAACAATAAAAAAAAAAAAAACATTTCTTTTAAAATTAAAAACACGAGAGAGAAATAATATATATATACACTACAGTTCAAAAGTTTGAAGCCACTCCCAGAATTTGCATGGGATGAACTTGACAGAAGAGTGAAAAAAAAATAAAAATGAAAAAGAGCTCTTCGAGTCATTGAAAAAAGAATGGAAACAATTATCAAATTCATTCTTTGAGAAATTTTTAGAACAAATGCCCAAAATTTGTGCTGCATTAATCAAGGCTAAAGGAGGATATTTTGATGAGATCAAAATTTAATCTTAAAATATTTTTTCTTTTTGTCATAATTAAATTTCTAATAAAAAAATTATGACTCACTTTTTTTTAACAATGTTAATTATCTTTTATTTAAAGTACAAAACTACTTTTCGGGTCAATTTAAAAAATTGCCAGGAATGGGCTCAAATTTTTGAATGGTACTATATATATATATATATATATATATATATATATATATATATATATAAATATATATATATATGGGGAAATTGTACATAATCTTTTATATATCAAGAAAAGTTTTAGTAAAAAAACTATGAAAAGGTGGAAAAATTTTTTTGTAATGTGTTTCATCCTTTGGGACTTCTTCGTGTTTACATTGATGTGACTAAACATGCACACAAAAGGAGAGTGGATGCTGTGAATTTGAAATTTTTTATTTTAATATGCTTTTGGTATATAGTCTAGCCAATTTAATTTAGTTTCTTTTTGTTCATATTTCCATCACTTTTATTATTAAATATCGCATATTGTGATAATAGATTTACCAAGAAAGGCGAAACATTTTAAGAATCTGCTTCTTGATATATAAAATATATATATTTGGGTGTATAGTCTTGTCAATTTCATTTAATTTTTTTTATCTTTTCGTACGTTTCCATCACTTTTGTTATTTAATATCCTACATTGTGATAATAGAAGATCTGCCAAAAAAGGTGAAAAGTAAGAAACTGTATGTAAATTTATTACTCCCCCGCAAAAAAATGTGGGCAAAGATGATGTGCTTTCCTTAAATAGGGTAAAAAGAGCCTTGCTTACTGTTCTGTCCATTGTGGCTGAGCGGTAAAGCATGCTGAACGAAACAGTAGTTTCCCCTACAAAAGGAGACACATGTTCAATCCCTGCTAAAATACATATTTTTTTAAACTTACATTTCTTGAGTGCACAGACCAACAGATATATTACACACTGTTTAATAAATAAAAATGGATTGCCAATTTCAAATAAGAAACGTCCGCTTTAATAACATTTGAAGTAATAAAAAGGCCTGATGAATGTAAATTTTGACTTTTACCAACATTTAAAATATCATTTTATTTTCAATTTTTACTTTTTTAAAAATTGAATTTCTATAATGAATATAAATCTAGGTACCACTAGAATTTGAATTTAAAAAAAAAACTTTAAAATGCATTTAAAATAATTTAAATGTCTTTTTTAGTAAAATTTTGGTTCTATTTGAGAGATATTAGCATAAAGCTAATCTATAAAAAAAAAGAAAAATAATTTTACGCATTTAAATTAGGCTTTAAGAAATGCTTAAAAGCCTTCTTCAATTTATCATCTACCATTTTAATTGAAAAGTTTTGATAAAATTTAAAACATCATAAAAATCACTTAAAAATAAAATATCTATGCAAGATATTAGTTTCAAAGAAAATTAGTAAGATTAAGGATTAATGAACAGAATCCCAGAAAAATATTACTTACTGCATGCTTAAAATATCATGAAAATCATCACCTTTGAACACAACAAAGTATATTTCAAGTGTCAACAAGTTCATAGATCAAACAATAGAAGCTATCTCCCACAACCCCCTATTTTTATAAAGGAAATACTGCCTCCAATTTAACTAAATATGAAAAACCCAAACTGCCAAAATACAGAAACTGGTTTCTGTCTATATTTCTGAGATGTGGTATTGTAACTGTTTTCATCAATGTCATGAAATAATTAACTGCAAATCCGGTTTTTTAATAATTTTAAGAAAATTTATTAAATGAAAAAAAATGTTGCTATAAAAAAAAGAACAAACTGGATAAAATTAAGAAAGACTTATTGAACTGATACTGTTTATTATCTTCTCTTTCAGTTACCAATGTCGTAAAATATTCTAGACATCATGTATATTTTTTTAATCAATTCACCTCAAGCAAGGTGATAATGCCACTAAGATGCAAGGGGTTACTGGGAGTGAAAGAAAATGGAAATACTTTAAACGGATTTGGAAACCAAATCATAAACAGGAAACAAACGATAAACCACTACTCCTGTTCAAAAGACTGGAGAGGAGGGTGAACCTATCTACTCCTTCTACTCCCATTGAGGAAAAAAATAAATATTTTTAATCTTCTATAACTAATAAGGAGGCAATTCAAAATTGTTGAATTATTTCCTATTTGATCTTATAGACAAAAAATAATTTAACAGTTGCAGAAAGAAAATTTATTTCTGAAGCGAAAATGGCATTATTTTTTGATTCTTCAAACACATCTTTATTACTTTATTTAATAAAAAAAAGATTTCTTTTGTCATCAGCAACAGGAAGAATTTCAAAATCACACTAAAAAATTACATGTAATTTTAAAAATAAATTTAGTTAGTGTAAATTTTTTCTCCTGTCAAATCTGAAATAAAATAATGTTTTGTTTTTTTTATTATTAAATTTTGTAAGCACTAATTCTCAACAAATTTTCTGATTTCATGACTTTTTTTTTTCTTTTTTTAAATAATATCTTCTGGGATTTTTCTTTACAAAACTTTAAAAAAATATTTGTCATCAGGCTCCAGCCAATTTTTAAAGTATTCACAAAATATCAAAATGTGGGATTATCTACACAATCCCCAGCATAACTCTATAAAGTTTTCTAATAAAATAACCTATTCAGTATACAATTCATTTATTAATGAATAAGTACTGAAAATTTTATTTAAATCAGATAATTTTTTTTTTTTTTTTTAGGTAATTTTTAAAAAATAGGGGGTACTGTTTTTTGGATAAAATCCTAGAAACAGTGGGGAGGGTGGCATAAAACAGGGGCCATAATTCAGATGCACAAAAATGAAAGTCATTGTGTTGATAAAAATGAGAATGGCTCTTTTGAAGAATTAAATTACTTTGTAGAATTTTGTTCCCGATAGATTGAGAAGCACCCTAGAAGAAGTCATCCAAAGATATATTGAACAAGGTTCTACAATCATTAGTGATGGTTGGTCCACTTATAATGGGCTAAAAAATTATCTGAGATATAATCACAAAGCTAATTCATGAAAATAATTTTGTTGATTGACTGTAAATATTTACATGAATCTTTGATCATAACTCAAATAACAGAGAATAACCTGTCTTCATCTATAAAGCATATTATTTTCTCAAAGAAAAAAGACCATGAATGGAATATACACCTGATGAATTTTGAAAAAAATGTATTTGAAAATATATTAAAAACAATGAAATAATGTATATAAATTTTATCTGCCTTTCTGAAATGAGGTTTTGTAATTATTTTATCATTTACATTGTTTGGACTGTTGGCTTCATCTTTATTGCCATATCCACAACATTTCAGCCATAGTACGCTCTGGCCTTCTTCAGCTGATTGGAAAAGTTTGTAGAATCTGATTTCTACATTTAATGGATCACAGCTAATTTCCATAAGGATGCTATTCAACAACATCCTGATTAGACAACAAATATTAAAATAATATCTTATGTATTTTTCACATGCAAATTCTAAATCTTGTGCAAGCTAAACACTTTTAGGCTCCAAGCCAAAAGTACAAAAATAGACCTTTTGTGATTGGTTAATAAATACCAAAGTCATACTTACTCTTACACACAAGTGTTAAAACCATATTAAAAAATTAAGAAAACATGTTCTCGAGCTTATCACATGATCAACAAGTAAATAAATATGGTACACCAGCCAATCTCACCACTGAGCATTGTGATAGCAATGCAATCCCCTACTAAAAAATACATCACACATTCTGAGGCTAAAACTTACCCATTATCATATATAAAACAAAGATTCAGAATTCACTCACTCACATTACACTGGATTTCATTATTACACAATAAAGTTTCTCAACCATAGAACATTATTTCATCCAGAATTTATTTACTTCTTGACATTATTTTCACAGAAAGACAACTTTAGAACAACTAAGTTTTTTCCTAATTTACACTGGAAATTTATATTTCACAAACACTGTTTAATTATCTCATTAACAGAATTATTCTTTCATTGACTCACATCACCACAATTACAACAAATATTTCTTCAAATAAATTCACATACCACATCTCCTAACACCAAAATAAGAGTTTACACATAATTAAAATAACAAACAACATCAAGATTTCACTCACAAATCTTTACTCATTTCAGCCTAAATGCATTGTATCTTTTAAATCAAGATATTGTTTGTTATTTTTTTCTCTTGTTGTTTATTGTTTCTTGGCACATTTGCTGAAAGTAAAAAAAAAAGTAGGGATTGAATTGAGGCCATTCGATCCTCTACATTACAGTTTCAGTTCGAAATTCCAATAACCTGAAGAAGGCCGGAGTGTACAAAGACTGAAACGTTGGGAATATGGCAATAAAGATGAGGACAACAATCCGAACAATATAAATTTTAACTTGCGAATTATAGTCCCGATTCTAGAATTTTACCATTTTTTGTTTTGATTTCTAAAACAAACGATCTGGGTAAAAAAAAAATGTGACATTTTTTTTAATTTTCCTAGCCAGAAATCAAAGTGTTAACTTAAAAAAAAAAAAAAAAAACAGTTGTGCAGCACGAAAATGTCAGGATTTTGGTTTGGTTCATTCCTTCCTCGGCATTAATTTTATTTAGAAAAAATAGTCGTTCGTAAAAGAAAACATGGACAATGCTTAAATAATTACGAAAAAAAACTAATTTTTAATTTATAAAAACAATAAATAATTTTACTTTTAAATTTTTAACCGTTCTTTTTTTTTAAAGAGTTAACAAAAATTAACATTATTTGGACTTTTATGAGAACACGTCTTCTAGAAGAATAAATATTCTTTCCTCTTTGAAAATTATTTCGCTATCTTGAGCAAGGTTTTTTGTTTTGTTTTTTTGGGGAGGTTCTTTTTCTTCTCTTCATGACCTTTCTTTAACTTTTAGTTTTAGGGGTTCTAATATTTGTTTATTATAATCATCCCAAAGTACTTTTATTTTCTCAAAGAAAAAGAAACAAGCATGACTGGGACCTGAATTGAGTATTGAATCTTTAAATATCATTTCATTTTCAATAACACATCTCAGAAATAGAAAAAAATCAAATTCAAACAGTTTTAATATTTAAGAAGAAATAAATTTAGCCTTACTCAATTTTTTTTTTTTAATCTGGACAAACTATAAACAACGTAAACAGAAACTTCGGATTCTTATGAGAAAAAAAATTTCAAAGGAGGGAAATTAGAAAAATCTTATCAAAAGAACGAAATAAAAGAAAGAAATAATAATACCATCTTTGTTTCTTTCTTTTTTTTTAAATAAAACATTTCTTAAATAAGAAAATGACTTACGGCTTTAAGAAAATCTTTGATACAATTTACAAGTTTTTGCTTCATCTTACCAAACACTTGCCTTGTTTACACTCGAGACTAATAATAATAAAAAAAAAAAGAAATTCAAGGGCAGTTAATCCCTTGAACACAAGCAGTTGCTTCCCTTTGTTTGAACATTTTTGATTATTTTATTGGTAGATGTTGAAATGACGAGATTGGTATTTTTAATTTAAATTACTAACCTCCCGACGAAGGTAGAATGTGACACAAGGTTATTTTTAATGTGGGTTTCCCATACGCATACATATAGGCCAAGCACAAAAACTTCATAGTTCCCGCGACCACTGTCATCAGTATTCCACCAACACTCTCTTTTTTTTAATTTAGAAGTGTAATGAGGGAGATGATGCCGCAAGCTTGGAACTAGGGATTCCTCAAAGCTTTTCCGTGAACTGTTCGAAGAGAGGTGAAGAACAGATACTACACTTGTTCTTTACTCCCCCCCCCCACACACACACGGTGAGGCGATATGCCACAAGACGGTTTTAAAGCGAGGAGAGCAGACACGTTCACCTGGGCTAAAAAGCGAAAAAAAAAAAAACTCACCTGGCCCACCAACCACTATCATGCTGAAGTCGATATTCCCCCAACCTTCTCTCTTTGATGCAATGAGTGAATGAGTCTATTTGTTGTGTTCTGTCGAAAGAAGAATGTCATTTGTCCACCCAAAGACAGATACTACACTTTCAACACGGGCCCAAAGATATGAGAAAAGAAAAAAAAAAACTATTATTTTTGTGTGTTCAGTTGAAAAGAGATTGTGGAGAATGGAGATCAAGTGACAACAAGATGCACCATAAAAAAGTGACAAGAGATACTCAATGAGATATAAACCCAAAACAATTTTATTAAAATAAAATTAAATAAAACTTCACTAAATTTTAAAGATGTGAAAATGTGGTGGTTTTGTAGAGGAATTTCCAAAATGTTTATGGGTTTGTTATGGGGTTAATATTAATGACATGAAATCAAATGCATAAAACATATAACAATAACAATAAAAACTTGAGACATGTGTTCACATAAATAAGAATTTGTATTTTCTTTTTGTAATGTGAATTACAAAATATTGGTATGGTGTGCGTAAAAATGTTCTCAGTGTCTCTTTTGTTTAAAAGTCAGTGCTTACTTGGTTTGGTTCTGAGAATTTTGTTTGTGAGGATGGGGTTTGAAATTGTTTGTTTTCGATCTTCATGGAGCGCTGGCTAGACATGTGTTTCTGTACTGCTATTACTACTTGTCTACACATCTACTACTAGGGGTACCCTCGTCTACTCTACTCTACTGACTCTCTTGTGGTGAAAGGGTCGTTTTTATAATGATGAGGGTTAGGATGATGAAATATCCATCTTTTCTATCATCATTGATAACAAGGTTACTTTTAGAATGATGAAATATCATCATCATTGTGGATCCTAACAGGTTTACAGGTGGTTATCTTCGGATAATGTTGTTAATCTAAAAATTCACCAATTTTTGGCCTTTTAATTAATACAAAGATAAATATTGCATGTACTGATAAAATTTTATATCTCTTAAAATAAAATATACAATGTTCAAAAAGTTTCATAAGTTCATATCAGAAAGTTCTTGTGCTGAAAGTCTAAGTCTTTTAGCATATAATTGAGAGAGAGAGAGAGAGAGAAAAGAGTCCTTGTAAATGTGTATGTAAGTATGTATGTATCTCTTGTAGTAATCCTTTGAACTCTGTGGGATTGTCAGGTGTCCAAAAATTTAGGAAATGGGAGAATGGACAAAATTCATTTCATCAAATCTCAGCTTGCCTTGCCTGGTCGACTCTGAGTTTATCCTTTTTTGAGACAAAGAAATTCATTTCAGAATTGTCTCTTGATTTCTGATTGGTTCACAGCAATCATGTGACCATCCCTTTTCTTCACCACATTTAGGAATGATGACTTTTTGGCCTCTTTTATTTATTTAATTTTTTTATCTTTTTGCTTTTATTTCTTTATGGCAAACCAAAACTTTTAGTTTTCTATTTTTTATTTTTATTTTTTGAAATAGTGAACTTTTTATTTTTCTATCACTACAGTTTGTGCATATAGGAATTAAATCCTATAAATATTTTTTAACCAATAAAATCCCATCAGAATTCTTGTTTGATAAATAATCATTACAAGGGCAAATACTGCCAAAATACTTGAGGACATATTTGCAGACATATCACATTTTATTTATGGACCATTTTGAAAACAACTCCCTTTACCACCACCACCCCACAAATTCAAGAAAAATATTTGCACAAGACAGTGTAAAATTATTTTCTAATCAATGAAAACCTTGTATTTCAAAAATTTACACCTCTATATGAAATTAGATTTCCCCTTACAGATATAAAAATAGAAGCCTACTGCTTCTTGAGGCTCAAAACAATTTCAGAGGTCAGTTTGATCTATATGTGCATACACAAACAATGCATGCACATAATGGAAGGGAGAAACAGCCAACAGCTGCTAAGGCCTTGTCCACGTACACAATAGAAGGGATTAACCAGCAACCACCAATTAAACCTTTTTTTTACAAACTCACAAACACATTAGGCTGACTGTCATAAAATAATTCTGTCCACATATTTCACACCATTCTAAGAATACTTAATTACTTTATAAAACAAACTTCACGGCAAGGAAAATTGAATATTTTATTGCCATTGTATATTTCTGAGAAGAATATATAAATGTTATTTCAACTGACGTTCTGCTTCTACTTTTCCTTCAGAAAATAACCGTTTTTATGTTTCATTTAAAAAATGTATTGTTGTTGCTAAATGTTTTTTATGTTTCATCTAAAAGATGTACTATTGGTGAAAAATGTTTGGAATCCCGACACTCAAATAGCAATAAAAACCTGTGTAGATAGATCCCAACATGTGCCGAGAAAAGGGGATAATAAATTTCTGGAGACTTATTTTTTTCTAAAATAAAGCTCAATGGTTGTTGTGTGGAAAAGATCATGTTTACAATCAAAATCAATCAAATAACATAAAATATCACAAGAAAAATGTCAGCATATACAAAACAATGCAAATTACAAGGAAGAAGGTGCAATAAGAGGGTTTTAGCGAGGTCGAACCCAGTTAAAAAGGTATATTTACCTTGAAGGTATAAAAAGTGAATGTTTTTAATAGTTCTTGTGATTTGATATGAGTTGTCGAAGTTATTAACAGAATCTGTTCATACCTTCAGAGTCTTCAACATAGAGCATTGTTTTGAGAACTACTGTTTTGAGAATGACTATTTTGTTGCAATAGGGTGAAAATAAGGGTGAAAATAGGGTGAAAATAAGACTTAATTCTGTCATGAATATGGCAATTTGGTTGTCAAGATTTTGTTGAGGAATAGGTTTCACAGCTGCTTCTTTGAGTCTACACTCGGTCAGGTTTTTAAATGTTTTGGAAGGCATCGCATCTCCCACTCCCTCTGATGGTCATTTTGCAGAAATTTTTATAGTCAAAAGGTCAGCTCCAACTTACTCAAAAAACTTTGGCAGGCGACACAACAATTTCAGCTTTGAACCAACTCAAGTAGTCATTGGTTAAAAAATCATTTTTATCTAAACAATTCATTGCAGGAGAACAAACACTTCTGTTTTTCTTTCTCTTTCCTTCAACTTCACTTGAGTCCCTATTCCTTAGTCAAGGAGTTTTGCACACAGGGTTGCAAGGTACAGGTTTCAGTAATTATTTTATTACTTTCATCCTTTCTCCCAAAATTTATTAAGAGTGAAAAAAAATAATTTTTAAAAAAGGCTGCAGGATGTGTGCATTAATAGAAGGATTAACCATTTTTTACCCTTGTATATCAAACACAAACAGGGTACCACAAAATAAAAAGGGCATGGGCTAAATCAACTATTAAAAGTGGAACTGATGGTTAAATCAATATTACGTTTTAAGGTTTTCCTCATTCTATATTTTTTATCTGATCTCATAAAATGAATATTTTGGCAATGTTTAACCTTTGTACTTGCAAAAAAATAGTGTGTCAAAAGATGGTTATTCCCTTGACACCATTATTACTTGTTGGATTACTGTCGCCTGATGATAATCACAGGCAGTGAGATATTGAATTACTGCCCCCTGACAATTATTACAGGTGGCATGAGATTTGAAAGAATTTTCCTCTTTCCTTGGTGACCTTGGTAGTGGAAAGACACCTTCTTCTTGCTCCTGTTGGCATGTAAGTACCTCAGAGACAGATACTGAAAGTCACTTTAAACTCTTCACATTTAATTTCATTTCTCTCTTTTCATTTTTGTAATATGTCCTATTCATATATTAATTCTATTTATTTGTTTAAATTCCATGTTCTGTGTCTTATTTTTACCTAGACTCACATGAGTTCACCAATATTGTTTACAGGACAAATGTGCCAGGAGCATTAAACTTTTACTAAAAAACGTCCACACCTCATATCAAAAGTGTTGAATCTCACAACATAATTAATCCATTTTTGACTGCCTCAGCAATGTTTATTGTTTTAAAAAGTGAAATAGATAATATCATCTTTATTCAAATTTTCTTGCCTATTGATATTTTTATCAACTGCATTTAACAGACAATTCAAAGAAGAGTCTGTAATGTAATCCATCCTGACCTGGCATCTTGACTTCAGTCACTCTCTCACCATCATGACGTGGCTTCCGTCTGGCTGTTCTACAAATATTTTTAGTGCAAGATGGATTCTGACAAGAAAAATTATCTAGCATGACACAGCAAACCAACTTTCCTAGTCGTAGACGAAGTAATTGATTCAATATAATCACTCCTTTGCAAAATATAAAAGATTATGTTAAAAAAGAGAAAGAAACAGTAAAATCGAAGACCCAATGTATAAAATTGAAAAATTTATTTGCTATTTACAGATTATGTATATAAGAAAAAATATGTAAAAAGAGAATTGCTTTCAAAGTGTGAAATGAATTCATTGTTTTTTAGGGGTTGAAGAGATATTTTAAAATTGTACTTAAAGGTCACACAAATCGTTCTCTATGTGTAGGCAAGTCTACAACAAGGATTTGTTGAAACATTCATGGCATTGCTTTCCAGAAATATCTTGTGAGAGATAGAAGAAAGTTCTGCTGCTTTTGTAGAAACTGTGTTTCTCCTGAATATGTCTGAAGATGTTCTCAGAGGTTGAACAATGGAAATAAAGAGGTGAAAAATTGTGGTCATTTTCATGGCATTTTGTGTGTTTTTTGTGTAGGTACCCTGTTTTGTGTGTAAGTACCCTGTTATGTGTGCAGGTACCCTGTTTTGTGTAGTATTACTGACTCACAGGAAATAGTATGCACTCAACTGCCTCATGGGTAATAGCTGTAGATATTTATGGTCTTTGTGACTTCATATGTAAATGATTCACCTCAGGTATCCAGACCAAATTTGCATAAACACTGGAATGAGCTATTAATGAATACAAAAAAATCCTCCTGCATGACCTCAGGAAGATAAAAAATAATTGATGGCATAACATCTGGAAAGAAGTTCAAAGTGCTTCTGACAGGCATCACTCAAAGACTTTGTATAGATTCCTCTGTCAAGTTTTTGATCCTAACATGTCTCCTATTGTTCAGCTGAAATCCTTCAATGGCAAAAGCAACTATTAAGGAACTGAAAGATATACAGTGTGTGATAGATAAATTGTGTTCTAAATAAAACTAACATCTCATTTTAACAGATATATTTAGGAAAATTACACAAAAATATCTTGAAATACTAAAGAGTAAATTTATTCAATAAAATCACCATTGTCTTCAACCATGGCTTCCAGATGACTTTGGAATCTCCTGCATCTCTTCTGGATGGTCTCATTATTTAAGTTGGTGAATGCTAACAGGTTTTCATAAAATTGGCCAAGGCTTTTGACACCATAAATTGTTATACCTTGGGGAGGATTCTTGGCAAGATTGGTGGCCCATCCATTTTTCTTAACTTAGTGAAACAGCTACATACTGATATGAAGGATTGTCTCATATTCAACGACCCACTTTCAGATAAGATTTCAGTGGACAATGGGGTAAAACAAGGTGACATTCTTGCACCAACACTTTTCTCAATCTATTTTGCTGTGCTCTTATCACATGCCTTCAAAGAATGTGAGGCAGGAGTCCCCTTGAGATTTAGAACATCAGGAAGACTATCTATACTATTTACATCATTCAGACTGTTGTCCTCATCTTTATTGCCATTTTCACAACATAGGTCAGTAGATAAAAGCAATGGCTGAAGTAATCCAAGTGACTTGACCCAAAGAATTGTGAATTCAATATATGGTCACAGCAGAGAGAACAAAAAACTTGAGTTGAGTTACTAAAAAGAATTAACTGAAACTGAGATATCCAAATAAGGCATGACATGTGGAATTAGGACAATCTACCCATGTGAACTAAATAAAGTGTTCAGTTTGAAATCCCAACATATCTCACCTGAAAAAGGGCGGAGCGTAAAACAGCCAAAACTTTATGAATATAGTAATAAAGATGAGGGCCACAGTCTGAACGATGGAAATGGTTAAAATACCTCATCTCAGAAATATAAACAGATATCAAGATGACTGCTTATTCTTAGAAAGTTGAACACCAAATCCAAGAACTTTGAGTGCCTGATTTGGTACAGATTCTACAGCATACTCCGAGGAAGATTTCCAACTCATAATGGACTGCTTCTCTACTGCTTAAAATGCTTTTGAACTGAGGATTTGCCTGAAGAAGACAAAAAAATTCATGCTCTTCTCTTCACCTAGTGTGCCCTACAAAGAGCCTACAATATTTGTGAAAAATACCACAATCAAGGTTATCACTTTCCCATACCTTGGAAGTACTATGGCAAAAGTTGGTACCCTGGATGCTGAGAATTTTTCACACATTCAGAAGAGGCAAGTGTTGAATTTGGTAAATTAGAAAGTAGAAATTTGGTCAGATTCGAGTTATTACCATCAAGACTAAAGTGTGTATATGGCCTGTCTTAACATCTCTGCTTTACTCTTATGACACAAGAACAAATACACATATAAAATGGCTTCAGTGATTCCACTAAATGCATACTTAACGTCAAATGGCATTCTTTGATTCCAGACACTGTCATCCTCCAAAGATCTGAATACAACAGCATTGAAACAATAATAATCTTCAACCAGATGCGATGGGCAGGACATGTTATGAGAATGTGGGATAACAGGATTCCCAAAGAACTTTTCTACGGGGAACTGAAGACAGGAAAGTATCAACAATACAAGTCGAGAAAAAGCTTTAAGGATAATCTGAATGCATTGCTCATGGACGTGCAGCATTGGGAATAACTGACTTTAAATCGTGCAGAGTAGAAGAAGCAACTTTATTAAGGAAAGATGCAATGTCTTTGTGGATGAATGTCTCAGGCATGCTCAGATTGAAGAGATACTCACTTTGATTTAACAATTAATATGCAGTCTTTGAAATGTGGTGTGTGTAAGCACATGCTGCTGTTGAAGGCAGGTATATTAACGATCTGAAAGGTTGTCATGACAACCAGAAGCAAGCCAACTATGCAAACAATGTGTGCGTTGTTTGCAACAAGATTTACAGATCATCCTCCGAACTGAAAAGGTACATGGTGATACAAAGGAGAGTTGTAGACCATGCAGATCCAATCCACCCAATCAAGGATACAGAGTTTATCTGTCATATATACATGATATCTATGAAGACGAATACTGGTCTCAAGAGTCACTGTAGGGTCAAAGGACACCCGAAACATGATGGAAGCCATCACAAGTGATGTGATAGGTGAAGGGGGTGGCTCTCATCTGAGTAAGATGTGGCAATCACCATATATAAATATATTGAATACAAATAATACATTGTAAAACAGGAAAAAAATTGAGATTTATTTATATTTTTATGAATTTGAAAATACACAGTAGAAATTTTTTTCAAATCTGAAAGAAATTATTTAAACACAAAAAATATATTTGTATACAAACATTGTGTATTTAGGCAGTAATCTCCCTTTTATACATGTTTCATTAAATATGACTGACAAGGTACTAGGATTAAGCTTTTTATTTAATTTTTCTTGTGTTTGTACAAATGTTTTCTTTACTGGATACAATGTGTGTAAAAACTGTCCAAAAGTTCTGTATATTTGAGTGTTTTTGGCTATAGTTTTAGCCATTATCAAGGATGATTTTATTTTTACTTTAAACTGAATGTATAGAGTGTGCTATATGTATCTAGAGTTATAGTAATGTTTTATTTTCAAACATGGTCAGCACATTGTGGCCGTGTTCATAGTTAACATTATTGAGTGTTGGCTTTTTCTTTTTTTATTATTAGGGCTTCCATTATTTTTAATCTTTTTTGCATGTCAACAAGATCATACTTGTATTTTCTACACTATTTACATTATTCGGATTATTGTCCTCATCTTTGTTGCCATATTTATCACAATGTTTCGGCCGTTGTACACTTCAGCCTTCTTCAGGTGGTTGGAATGTCAAACTGAACCCTTTATTTCACTCACTGGGGTAGACTATTCTAGTTCTATATGACATGTCAAATGGATGTCAGTTATCAATTACCTCTTGTTAATTTCCCTCTCAAAGTTCTCCACCGCCTTAACCAGGTATTGAACTCACACTCTTTGGGTTCTGTCACTGGACATTCCAACCACCTGAAGAAGGCCGGAGCATACAACGGCTGAAACGTTGTGATAAATATGGCAACAAAGATGAGGACAATAGTCCGAATAATGTAAATAGTGTACATAATCCCTCATCTCAGAAATATAGACAGATATTGTTTTCTCTATTAGTAAGTTTCAGATGGAGTCTGGTAGGTTTTCATGTGTGCTTAAATGAGTCCTAATGGAGCTGTGGTTAGGTAGGTGTAATGTAAGTTGTCTGGATAGGCATGTAGTAGTGTGACGAATGTAATTATTTACTTTCAGGAAGTTTTTATACACATTATTTCCAGAAAAGAAAATGCTTGTACAAACACAAGAAAAATTAAATAAAAAGCTTAATTGTAGTACCTTGTCGGTTGTCTTTAACAAAACATGTATATACAAACATATATGCATATCAATGATAAAGTTTGATTAATAAATTAGACCCACAAAGAGATTAAGAATAACTAATAATAAAATCAAACAAGTGTAACAATATATTATAATAAAAGTTATAGAAGGATTGTTTTTTATCATAGATCTTATCAATTTCTGTATATTTTTCTTTAACCAAGAACTTTTGCCTTTTCAAAAAAAAGAAACCATTCTTTCTACCATTCTACCATTCTTTAGGATATCCAAATTACCAACATCACTCATCTTGTTCTTAAGTAGAATTTATGAATTATTTATATCTGTGATTAGTCATGGATAACTAAAACCACAGATAAGGGAAAATAACTGCATATATATATATATATATATATATATATATTCAGACATATATGAGTTGAAGATCAAATGCAGATCAAATATGGATCAGAATCTGACATTATGATAAAACAAAGAACAAACAGGAAACGTATATCAATGTAAAATGTTTCAGTTTTATTTAAGCTTCATCAGAGATTGAGAGAAAACAGACAAAAAGACAAAACAAAAGGCAAGCTAAAAAAATCCCTACTAGACAGACAAATGCACACAAATACAGATTACCATTTGTTGTTCATTTAAACATACAAAATTCTTCACAAACCTACATACACATAGAGTTATCCATGGTTTTAAATGATCAATGAGAACTGACCCAAACATAATTGAAAATACCAGTGTTTTCTGTCTTTTTGTCTGTTTTCTCTCAATCTTTGACGAAGCTTTAATAAAAAGTGCTCAATTGATACACATTTCCTATTTGTCTTCTTCTTTTTATTATATATATATATATATATATATATATATATATATATATATATATAGATAGATAGATAGATAGATACAGGGTATCAAAAAATACTTTTAGTTTAGAGCAGGAGTTCCTCACACCAAAAGAAGGACAAAAATACATATAAACATATGTCTGTAAATCTTTAATTTTTGAGTTATTACATTTAAAGAAACTTTACGGTGTATATATATATATATATATATATATACATATATATATATATATATGTGATAAAATATAGTTTTATGGTGTATGTATATATATATATATATATATATATATATATATATATATATATATATATATATATGATATGAAAAATGTAGTTTTAAGGTATGCTATATTTTATGGGTTAAAAAGTGGCAGGGATAAAGCATATATAAATATAAAAGTGGACAACACCAAGTGGCAATAGTCTGTTTCATCCTTAAGCACAATCTTCAGGCCATGTGTGTTATGTTTTGGCTTGACTATTTATATATGCCAGTCAATGGTGTATTATGGGGAGAAGGTCTATTGTATTATCTGAACAGTTATTATAACTACATTATGGGTAAAAAGTCTGTTGTATTATCTTAATGGCTATTATAACCATTAGGATAATATAATAAACCTTCTACCCATAATGCCCCACTGACCAGCATATGTAAATAGTCAGGCTGAAACACAACACACATGTGAGTAAAATTGGATAAACAGGACCATTTGGAAGCCGTTGATGGTTGTGCGAGCACAAGGTCACAAGTCATCATGAACGAGGGTTTGAGCGTGCTGGCTTTTTTTAAAAATAAAATTGATCACGTCAGTTTATGCACTCTCTCCCAGAAATTGTAACCAAGGTCTGCTTAACATAGTAGCAGTATAAACCAAAAGTGGGTATTGAGTGGGTATCTGTAATAGGGTGTGGCTAGCCACCCTGGCAAGATGGGTGTGCTTGGAAATGGGTAACCGACAATTATTATTATGTATGTATATATAAAAGAATTTTAGGTATTGAATAATCTCTTATCTCAAACCCTAAAAGTTGGTACATAGTTTTGACAATAAGAGATTTGCTCTTTACATTTTTTAAACACTATAGTAACAAAAATGCAGAGATTTAAAAATCAAATGACTGTGTGTGTGTATGTGTGTGTGTATGTGTGTGTGGCCCCACCCATTATATAACAATTCACTAAATGTTGCTTAGATGTGGCACAAGGCTGAAAGTATGGAGCATCCAGTGAGAATCAAACTCACTACTCAGTTGTAATTGATTGTTAACCATTTTAATCATTACCCGACCTCAAAGTGCCGACTCCACCCATTGTATAAGAGGAAATCTTTTTTTTATAAAACAGCCTCTTTTATTTTCCTTACTAAAAGATTATTTTATTTCACACGGATATTCTAGACATACTTATATACTTTTTTTTAAAAATGCTAATGGAGACATTTCTGTCCTCAAACTATATATACAAATTCTCATGTTTATATTGATAGATGTCTTCAGAAGATGTGTGTTTGTTCCACTGCATATGAAAGCACAACACATATGAAAAAGACTTTAAGATTTCCGCAGACCATAAGTGGCTACAAATTAAAATGCCTCCATTAATGCATACAACAGACAAAACCAAATTGCAGGACACTTCTCTCTTCGTTTTTTTTTTTTAAGTTACTGTTTTAAATTGATTTCATATCCTTCAAGGAACAAATGTATTTTTCTTTGTTTTGACATCTCCAAATTCACATCTTTCGAGTTTGGTCGCTGCAACTGATTGGATTTTGATGCTTTAGAACGAATCTTACCAAATTTTCTTTGCAGCGGACATCTTTCAAACAAAAACTGGGAGACATCCTAAAAAGAAAACAAAAAAATGATTTCCATTAATGAATTCTTAAAATTACCAATTCAGACAATGCAATTCTAATTTACTTACCCCAAATTAGAAATTAGTATATAGAAAAACATCAATGTATCTTTTAAGTATGTACAGGGTGTCCCCAAATAATATTATATAACATTATATATATATATATATATATATATATATATATATATATATGTATAGCATGTTCCCCAAATAATTTACATCTAAAATGTGAATATCTGAGTAACTACACGTCCTGGGCAAACAAAATTAAATAAGCTTCATGTTGAACAAGAAAAAATCTATTTATCTATTATTCAAAGCGATGTAGATTTAATAACCGATTTTATAAATATTCACAAATGTTCATTATGGGCACCACCTGTGACACGACACACATCAAATCAGTAGTCCAACTCCTGCCAAACACACTGTAGCATGACTTGTGTAACATTCTCCAGTGCCTCAGAGATTCTCTGCTTAAGTTCCTCTAGGCTTGTAGAATGAGGTGGGGGGGGGTATAGACCTGTCCTTTCATATAGCCCCATAGAAAAAAAATCACAAGCTGTCAAGTCAGGTGAACCTGGTGGTCATTTCAACAGCATATTGCTATTATCATGGGCACAATCCATTTTGCTGGTAGATTCTCATTGAGATAAGTCCACACTGAGGTGCTGAAGAATGATACACAAAACATTCTTGTT